GTATTTGACCCCCTCTCAATCAGAAAGATTTCTGGCTCCCAGGTGTTTTTATACAGGTAACGAGCTGAGATTAGGAGCACACTCTTAAAGGGAGTGCTCCTAATCTCAGCTTGTTACCTGTATAAAAGACACCTGTCCACAGAAGCTATCAATCAATCAGATTCCAAACTCTCCACCATGGCCAAGAACAAAGAGCTCTCCAAGGATGTCAGGGACAAGATTGTAGACCTACACAAGGCTCGAATGGGCTACAAGACCATTGCCAAGCAGCTTGGTGAGACGGTGACAACAGTTGGTGTGATTATTCGCAAATGGTAGAAACACAAAAGAACTGTCAATCTCCCTCGGCTTGGGGCTCCATGCAAGATCCCACCTCGTGGAGTTGCAATGATCATGAGAACGGTGAGGAATCAGCCCAGAACTACACGGGAGGATCTTGTCAATGATCTCAAGGCAGCTGGGACCATAGTCACCAAGAAAACAATTGGTAACATACTATGCCATGAAGGACTGAAATCCTGCACCGCCCGCAAGGTCCCCCTGCTCAAGAAAGCACATATACATGCCTGTCTGAAGTTTGCCAATGAACATCTGAATGATTCAGAAGACAACTGGGTGAAAGTGTTGTGGTCAGATGAGACCAAAATGGAGCTCTTTGGTATTAACTCAACTCGCCGTGTTTTGAGGAGGAAGAATGCTGCCTATGACCCCAAGAACACCATCCCCACCGTCAAACATGGAGGTGGAAACATTATGCTTTGGGGGTGTTTTTCTGCTAAGGGGACAGGACAACTTGACTGCATCAAAGGGACGATGGACGGGGCCATGTACCGTGAAATCTTGGGTGAGAACCTCCTTCCCTCAGCCAGGGCATTGAAAATGGGTCGTGGATGGGTATTCCAGTATGACAATGACCCAAAACACACGGCCAAGGCAACAAAGGAGTGGCTCAAGAAGAAGTACATTAAGGTTCTGGAGTGGCCTAGCCAGTCTCCAGACCTTAATCCCATATAAAATCTGTGGAGGGAGCTTAAGGTTCAAGTTGCCAAACGTCAGCCTCGAAACCTTAATGATTTGGAGAAGATCTGCAAAGAGGAGTAGGACAAAATCCCTCCTGAGATGTGTGCAAACTTGGTGGCCAACTACAAGAAACGTCTGACCTCTGTGATTGCCAACAAGGGTTTTGCCACCAAGTACTAAGTCATGTTTTGCAGAGGGGTCAAATACTTATTTCCCTCATTAAAATGAAATCAATTGATAACATTTTTGACATGCGTTTTTCTGGATGTTGTTGTTATTCTGTCTCTCACTGTTCAAATAAACCTACCATTAAAATTATAGACTGATCATTTCCTTGTCAGTGGGCAAACGTACAAAATCAGCAGGGGATCAAATACTTTTTTCCTTTACTGTACATAGCCACAGCTGCCCGGTTTGGACCAATGTTGCTGGAGTTATGCATTCACAGATGGCTGTATTTTTGATGGGTTGTGTAAATATATTTATATTATACATGCGGAGTGACAAATTACGTGAAGGAGGCGTGTTGTGTGTGATTATTTATTCAGTAGAGAAGATGCATTTACGTGGTTAATTAAATATCCTTCATGTATAACCAGTCTAAGAACTGGAATACATAAACCTGCAAGGTGAAAATAATACAAAAGCCATACGCATGCAACAAATTTGCGAAACACATTCTGGCTGGTCCCTCAATCCCTCTCAATATTTGCTGTGACTCCTGCCCTCCCTCAGAAAACATGCAAAGTTGTTGGGCCAACATTGGTTGTTGACGTTGAGCTGACGTCAGGAAACGTCGGGCCCCCAACGTTGCATGTTTACTGCGAAGTTTAAAATCGTAGTGCTTGTTTGGGTGACCACCAGGGCTCGCCAGGTGTTGTAGGTGTGTGGTTCTGACGTGTGGCGAAGAGAGAGTTCTGCAACTTTATTCTCCTCATGTGTGTGACGGGGTTTTCTCCGCGTACTCTGCCTCCTTTTTTTCTCCTCCCACACGAAGCCAAAACAACTCATTCATGGAACCGGCTAAACATCCCTAATCCAGCAGGACCTTTCCTGGGAGATACCCTTCATAATCTTCACCCCACCAGTAAACACGCAAAGGTTCGTTGGGCCAACGCATACCTGTCAACCCCTTATCAGTGCCTACCTTAGTACAACCAATACAGACTTTAAATACCCCTAAATACTACCAAATACAACTGTCAGCAGCAGAACACGCGTGCCAACAAGGACACTCAATTGATTTTGATAATACTCTCTGGTTCTATTGGGTACAGTCACGTAGGTAAAAAAAATACCTACGTGACTTTACCCAATAGAACCAGAGAGTATGGATCCTTGCAGTCACGAAAGCTTTAAATCTAGAATTAATTTTGATCATGTTGAAGTTCTGTGCAAAACTAGCTACGACTGGCCAAGACTAATTGGAGAATATATCGAAATTTAAAGAAGTAAAAATAACTTAACCGCTCGGATAGCTACCGCCTCAGTGCTGCGTGGAAGCGAATCATCAAATAATACATTGTTTAAATGCATGCCTATAAATGCCACCAAATTTCAATAGGGATTACTGTTGGTACGGCTATTTTAGTACACACAATGGACAGGAAGGACAAGATCAATGGGCACGCATAATGCGCGTGCATTATGCGTGCCCACGTTGACTCAGTAATCCCCCCCACCCCCCACCTTGCGCAAGATCGCAGAAGCGTGGTCACCACATCTACGCCTCTACGTAAGGAACGAAACGGGTGGACTTCTACACAAATCTGTCTGTCGCCTGATGAAGCTGGTTGTAATTACTTGCGAAACGCCGTACTCAGATTGTAAATGTTGTGGCTTGGCTCTCCAACACACCGGTTAGTGCTGTGCTAGTAACGAATTGGCCACGTTCTGTTTACGTGACAACCCTTACTAGTTGGCTACGTCGGGTGGTGGCGGGTTTTAACGACACATTTAAATAGTTACGCGCTCTAACCCAAAACAACCTCTATTATTATGAATTCAGACCTTATTGGTCACCCCGTGCCCTTATAAATCTCAACGTTCATCCTACAAAGTCCCATCACAAGGGAGAGACACAAACAAATCGACATTGTATTTTTGCCCGTATTAAAACGTCTGTACGCCGTGTGGACCTGAAAACTCAATTTCCCTGTTCAAGAACACGGGATGAACCCGAATGGCTTGACAACGATATGGTTGAAACAGTTGAACCCCCACCCCAAAGTTCCACGTTTACTGGGACGAACACGCAGAGCGACTGTGCACGTGGCCACCACCAACCCTGCCCCCAGGGCTTCAGAGTGTCCGGCTCCGCGTCGACCTTCGCGAGACGCGGGCACCCGAAGGCACCGGCAGTCGCGGCGCGGTGTGGAATGTGAAATGGGAGCCGTGCCCTGAAAAAACTTCACAGAAGCATCGGGCGAGTGGCATCCTGTCCGCCCCCCCCCCCCGACTGCTGTGGTTGCGGGGCGTTTGGGTGGTTCGCTGCTAGTTGCGGGACGGCGACGATCGGTCAGCCGTGTGGGAGGCATGCCACAACATCCATGGGGCTTCGTAGATTCAAACAGATAAATGTTTTCCGTTCCAAACGCACGCCCCCCCCCCCCCCTCCAACAAACTCACCAAGTATATGAATAAAATGGCTCAGAAAATGCCATTAGCGTCGTTGTGGTGTGTATAAATAACTAAGTAAATATGGGGATACGTCTCCTTCCCATGTCCGTCCCTCCACTTACACAATATAAAATTATTTTTCTGCACGACCCATCATCAGACTCACGACCATGACTCTATAGGAGTGCATTATTTCAGCACGATTAATTCCAGACAAGCAAAGCTCTGGACCGGTTTCCCCTCACTGCCTCATCAACAATGCTGCTGAAATGATCCCGCATTATGGGTAATTTAAGAAATACTCTGATATTTTTTGGAGACACTGCTTATTGATTTGGTTGTTTCTAAACGACATTTTGACTTAAAGCTTTCGTGACTGCAGGAATTCATATTCTTTGGGTCTTTCGGTAAAGTGACGCAGATAGGTTGAAAGAAAATAACCAAAAACTACGTTTCGATCACAACACAAGCGATCGCCATCATGAGGACGATCGCTTGTGTTACGATCGAAACTTCGTAGTTTTTGTTATTTTCTTTCTGCCTATCTGCGTGACTTTACCGAAAGACCCAAAGAATCTACATTATTTACATGTTATTCAAATTATGTACTACTGTTCACCTACCTACTGTGACATATGGTTCAGAAACATGGCCATTTATGAAAACATCGACGCACAAATGGAAATGTGCGCAAATAACCACGCAGAGAGATGCATGCCATGACTTACATTGAGAGACAGATAGAGGAATGTGTGGATTAGAAAACATACATCTTTTAACAACATCATCCAAACTATGAGGGCAAGTGGGCCGAGACAAGACATGGCGATAGAAGGGATAACGGACAATGCTCAATTATAATATTAGAGTGGTATCGAATTAATATAACGCGAAAAAGGAAATAATTTCCTGCGCAGGTGCTAAGTGGACGATTACATTGCAAGATCGTGAAAGGTGGCAGCGGATTGGGTCTCTGTATTTCTCTCTCTCTCTCTGCGTCTCTGGGTTTACTGGTTTACGATATGGTCAAAAGTTTGGATTGCATGGCCACAATCGCACTCCGACTGGGGCTCGTCTGTAATTTTCCAGAATATAATTGTAATACTTACAATTTTCTCTGAAGTATAATACACACGTGTGTCACCGTGGACACCGGGCACATACTTGCAGTGCGTCTTATAATCGGGAGAATACGATGCACATTTTTTGTTACTGCAATCTACACAATGGACGAATGTATATCTTTACCGAAAGCCATTGTTGCATGTTACCCTACGCCCCAACTGTCATGCCGTTTGTTGCAGTATGCACCCGTGGTCTTAACATTTTTCATTTCTCAGCTCAGCCCGACATGCCCTGCAGTGCCTCCTCCACTCAAAACAGGTTATCCCGGAAATTGCCTTCACCTGTGTGTGTGTGCAGGGCTGGTGGGTGGTTTACAAAGATTGTTTGTTTGTCCTTCTTCACTCAACGAACCCCACGGCAAGGCACGGTTAACTTCATTAGTGTATCACACTGATTATTTAACATCTCTTACTCGCACACACACACACCCAGACACCTTTAGTCGTGTCACACAATTATTCAACAGCAGCAGCAGCAGAGGCGGACGCACTGTTCAATTAGTTTTTTTTTCATCTCCAAGATAGTTTGAAGACATTCGAGGAAGCTGCGTTAGTTGCCTCACAAACGAAGAAAAGGGAAAAAAATTGACATCGTTTTAGACACAACAACCATCGCAACAGACGCGCAGTTTACTTCTTCTTTACTCTAAAGCCAGGTCTGAAAGATAGTTTCAGTCGCGCTCATTATCTCACACTCGCACACACTCGCACACACCGAGAGGCATTTGACATTTTCGAGAGTAAAGTCACGGACGACGACGACGACTACTGAACAATCACGTAGGCGCGGTGTTTCGTGCCAAGTCGCATTGGAGAGGGGTGGAGGGGGGGTACAAACACTTAAATGTAGTGGCACACATAATTAATTACACTCTTCTCACACACACACATCGACAAACATTTGACATTTTATTCAGTCAACAGTCACAACAATTAAACAACAGGAGGCGCGCCGTTTTTTGGGAGGTGGTTGGTTGGTTGGTGGTAGTGGTTGTTGTTGTTGGTGGTGGTTGACATTTCTGGTGACGACTTTGGCTCCGGCGGGCGATGGCCGAGTCTCAGATCGCCTGTCTGGAGGACAATTTCGGCTGGCGTCCTGGCGAGACCCACAAGGAGACGAACCACAGCGAGGAGCAACGCCTGGCGCTGGAAGCTCTCCTCCGCGGTGGGACCTCGGAGTACCTCGGGTACACGAACACAGCCAAGGTGAAGCCATTCCTGTCTGACAAGGAACTCGCTCTGCTCCTGCACGAAGGCGACCCCACTCGAAGAAAGCAGCGAGGGGGTCACGGCCCCTCCTCCGTCGGATCGTCCGAGCGACGTCTGCCGGGGTCCGCGTTTGGTTCGCCGGCGGACGGCGGAGCAGCGGCGCTGTCCACCACGGGGTCGCTGACTTACTGGCCCGATCGCTCGGATGCCCCCACGCCTGACCTTGAGTTGGGATGGCCGGCGGCGGGCAGGTACCGCGGTGTGACCCGGGTCCAGGCCGTCCACGCTCAGCCTCCGCTGGGACCCAACTCGCCCAGCATCAAGGAGGCGGCGCGGGCTATGGTTCACGGTGCCCACCAGGTGAGGCCATGAAGACGTTTGGTAGTAGTGTGGGGTTTTTTGCAACCGTATTTTGCGGATTATTAAACGCGCTTCAATCCCTCCCCCCCCATGTAATTGAAGTAAACAATTGAGAGTGTCTTCTTTGGTTCTTTCGGTAAAGTAACGTAGAATGAGAATAAAATAATAAAATAAAACAATAAATTTTCACGACGTTTCAGTCACGAAAGCTTTAAATCGAAAAAATTGAGTGTATGTGTGTAACTTTGTTGATACACAATGCGCAAAAGTTTGGGGTGGCGTCTTATTTTCCGGAGCGTTTTATTACGGGAGGATACGGTGGTGAGTATACTCTTTGGTTCTTTCGGTAAAGTCACGTAGGTAGAAAAATAATAGATCACGAAGTTTCGATCGCAACACAAGCAATCGTCATCAGGTGGAACAACCACAGCAAGAAAAAAACTGCTGAAGTTAGTTTTTTTTTCTCTATGGTTGCCCCACCTGATGAAGATTGCTTGTGTTTTGATCGAAACTTCGTGATCTATTATTTTACTACCTACGTGACTTTACCGAAATAACCAAAGAGTATGGATTCCTGCAGTCACGAAAGCTTCAAATCAAGGTAGTGGGTATGTGTTTCTCTGTCCGTGTTTCTCTCCATCTTCGTCCATCCATCCGCCTTTCGGTTCGTGTCTTGCCTTTTCTGTCCGTTGATGTTTCTACATGTTCGTCTCTCTGTCCATCTGTGTGTCCGTATCTGCATCGTTTACTCTGTCCGTTCGTTCATCCGACTGTCCGTCAATAACGTTGTCCTAAAGTTATTCTGCACAACGTTCCGCGAGTCAATCTTGTTCATTATCCATCTTAAAATCTGTTTGCCGATCGTTCTGTAAGTCCTTCCGTTAAACCAATTTGTCCCTCCTTCCATAACTATGTCCACCTCTAATTTTATTGGTCTGTTCATCATTCTGTGAGTTAGTTGTCCGTCTGTTGTCCTTCTCCCGCACCTCCGATGAGCACGGTTGGCTACGTACGGCGCGAAAGAAGTTGTACACGCATGACGTCTGTCTGTTTATCCGTCTTTCCGTGAATGTGTCCATCTCTAAATCTATTACCTGCCCAGTTGTTGATGATCTGAGACTACATTTTCGGCAGTGGGCAGCACAGCAACAACATCCGTTGCTCAAACGCCTGTGCTCTCCGCCTTCACCAGCCGATCCCGACCATCGTGATAAATTGCGGTCAAATAACCCTCACTACCCACACAGCATGGGGAGGCCTTCATCCAGCGGTGGACTGACAAAAGGGCCTCTCCATGGCCCTCTTGGGTCATGAAGATAGCAGCACATTTTGACCACAAAAATGGGACGTAAAAGGGAACATTCTTCAACTTGCGAATTTACTCCCGAGACGACATGGCCCTCTTGAAAGACTTCCCCCTTCAGTGACCACGTGGCTGAGGAAGCAAATATTGTCAGAGTAACTGAGCCGGCACTGCCGAGATCCAGGGGTTTACGAGTGGTGTCAACCACCCCGTGATTTTAAACCGGGCTTTCAAGTGGAGCAACTAAAGTTGATTGTGCCATACCCGTCAACAGTAACTGCATAAAAAACTCGTTATGTAAAATGCGTTTTACACTTTGGCATTACAAGAGCCCTGAAGTATTGCAAAACGTTAGGCTTGCTTAACCTTTTTTTAATTAAACTTTTTTTTATATATAGCAGGGCAAGTTAGAATTACGGAGCTCATCTTCCCATGACTACAGAGAGAGAGAGGGGAGGGGGCAGGAGTGGGGGGGCAGGCAGGTGACATGCAGTTATCCCCAGGCCTCTGGTCACAAAGAGGGCCTTAGAAAGGGCTGAGAGCGGGAGGGGGCTTCAAAGGGGCCCTGATCTGGGGCCTCCACTATCATTTTGGCAGCCCTGCATTGTGTTTTTTCAAGGTTGTTCACTAAGATGTTGCACAGGGGGGAGGGATAAATATTGCGATATGTAAATGAAAACCCATCCACCCGCTCAACCGCTCACCCGCCCACTCACTTCAGAATCAGAAGTCTATTTCCCCGATTAAAGCCCACCGAGCTAAGAAGCTCTTTGTTAAGGGCGAATCGGGCGGCAGACAACATCGAAGGATTTCACAATTACACATTCTCACTCACACTTACTGGCCCACTCACACAAGCACTCAACTGCCCACCCACACACAAACTCGCCCACCTACCCAAACACTCACTCACGCACCCACTCATTAATTCGTCCACCCAATCGCTCACTCTCCCACCCATTCGCCCACTCACACGCCCACGCATTTCAGAATCAGACGTGTATTTTCCCGAATAAAGCCCACTGAGCTAAGAAGCTCTTTGCCAAAGGCGACTCGGCTGGCAGACAACATCACAGCCTTCCTTTCACTCCGCGTGTTCACGTGCGATGACCACGGTCCTGCCCGCCCACCTGTTCCAGTTAATCGCCGTGGTGATGGACGAGTTCTCCGACGTGGACATCCTGAAGGACGTGGCGGACGCGGCGGTGAGGCGCCGGGTGCCAGTCTACGTGCTCGTCGACGAACTGAACGTGGCATCCTTCCTCGCGGCGTGCCGTGCCGTGTCCATCAACATCTTTTCCATGCGGGTGTGTGTGCCGTGCTGTGCTGTGCCAGCCTTCATAGGTGCTCGATGTTTGTCTTTGTGTGTGGGGAGCGTGGTGCTGGCCACCCACCCCTCCTCGTGTGCCGTGCTGGCCGCCATAGATGCTCGCTAAGAGCACTTGCCCCAAGAGTATGTTGAGGCTATATGGGGGATCTTTGTCTTTGTGGGGAGCACAGGTGTGTGATGAGCGGTAGTGTAGTGATTAGTATGCTCCGCTGCGAACGCGGCGGCCCCAATTCGATTCCCACTCACGGCCACTGACATTAGTGACGATTGTGTTAACTGGTCCTGGGTCTCCACAAGGTCGACTCGGCCCCAAATGAGTACCTGGTGCAATGTGTAAACATCGCCACTGGGGAGACAAAGGCGACCGGGCATGGTGCTGGTCACCCACCCCCTCGTATGCTGTGCCGACATTTATCGGTGCTCGCTAACAGCAATTGACCAAAAAGTCTGTTAAGGCTATACGGTGGATCTTTGTCTTTTTCTATAGGGTGCACATGTGGAGCAGTAGTTAGCTTGCTGCACTCGAGGACCGGTACGAAACCGGTCCTCTAGGTGGACTCTGCCTTAAATGAGTACCTGCGCAGTGTGCAAACATCAATACTAGGGAGACAATGACGGCCGGGCATGGTTCTGTCCACCCAGCGACTCGTGTGCTGTCTGTATGTCTTGTCATGTATGGCTGCTGCTGTTGCTGCTGCTGCTCCTGCCTGTGGTGTGCAGAACATGCGCGCTCGATCCCTCGAGGGCCTCAGCTTCTGCTCGCGCAACGGCGCTCGCATCACGGGCCGCATGCAGGAGCGCTTCATGATCATCGACGGAGACCAGGTGCTCACGGGTACCTACAGGTGCGGTCATCACCACCACAGCCTACATACAACACCACCAATGGTTACCACCACCACAGCCTATAGCCAACGCTACCACAGCCTACAGCCAACAACACCACCACCACGACCACCACTGTTACCACCACCACAGCCTATAGCCACCACCACCACAGCCCACGGCCACCACTACCACAGCCCACGGCCACCACGACCACAGCCTACACCCTCTACCACCACTACCATCACTGTTACCACCACAGCTTACGGCCAACACCACCACCAATACCTATAGCCACCATCACCGTCACCGTTGCCACCACCGCCACCGTACGTGTGACAGCTGTCACAGCCACATCACCCTCGTTGGCACACACCGGTAATCCTGCACTGTAGAGGTGAGCGTATGTCAGTACAGCAAGTGATTTAATCTCCATCTGTATTCCATCTGTACGACGATTGAGTGTTACTCCCCCAAATTTGCACGAGAGGGTATTTTCCCCGGGTGCGCCAGTGTCTTCCCACATGTCTAAATGGAGTTTAACACGTAGGCTTTCGTGACCAATATCATCCATAATTGAGGGTTTTTTTGGGTTAGATCGTGTAAATATATAAATGTGCTGTGTCTGGTGGTGGTGGCTTTTAAAGACACATTTATATATTTACGCGATCTAACCCCCGAAAAAAACCCCCAAAAAACTTCTATTATGGGGTTAATAGAGTTGGTTAAAACATCGCAATGTTGGGCCACAGATTTTGAGCAACGGTTGGTAGCGCCGGTTCTGGCTGCCTTCCCGCTTATCTGTGTTTTCCTGTGCCTCTGAATCTAACGGAAACTGTGTAGCACGTAAAAAAATGTGTGTACTTATTTATTTATCATCCATGGAGGTTGGACACCGCCATCACCATCACCACCACACATATTGTGGGAAGTTTTTCATGAGCACAAAGACAACGATCCCCCGTATAGCCTCACAAGACTGTTGGGGCAAGTTCTGTTAGCGAGTAACTCTCATGAAGGCGGGCATGGCACACAAGGGGTTTGGGTGGCCAGCACCACGCCTGGCCGCTTTTGTCTCCTCAATGGCGATGTTTGCACACCGCACCAGGTAATAATTTCATGCTGACTCGACCTAGGGGAGGCCCAAGACCGGTTATGATAATTATCACTAGTGTTGGCCGTGAGTGGGAATCGAACACGGGTCGTCAGGTTCATAGCGCAGCGCGCTAATGACTACGCTACTGCTCCCCACAAGCACCATCATCAGTCATCTTCATACCTACAGGTGCAGCCAACGCCACTGATTTCTGAGCCACACGGCCACCTAGAATGACCACACATCCCCTAACAAAAGCCCCTACCAAATGTAGCTGCTGCCCCAAAATTTTGGAACCACCTAATGTCATCTCCTTGGCATCTCTATTCAGCAATCTCTGTCCTGACTTCAAACGACTCTATTAAAATCCATAAAGTTTAAGTGTCAATGTAATTTTAACAACATAATTGCTCTTATTAAGTTGGTTTCTTTAGAATCTGTAATTTTGGAATGCTTTGCTGTTGTCCTGAAAGAGAGCTCAGCTCAGTGGCCTTTACTCGTGGGGGGGGGGGGGGGGAAATAAACTCTTGATTTCTGAATCACTCATCCGTTGTCTTGATTTACTATACCCCCCCTCCCTCTCACGTCGTCAAGTTTCACGTGGTGGGCATCGCGGATGGACAGGCACATCGTCACGTCGCTGTCAGGCCAGGTGGTGGAGACGTTCGACATGGAGTTCAGATTCCTCTACGCGCAGTCCAAACCCCTGCAGGAAAAGCAGCAGCAGCAGCCAGGGGCGGCAGCTGTCGCACGCCCACTTCTCCAGCTGCCGATGTTCAGCTTCTCCCCTTCGCCGGCTGCGAGGGCCCAGGCTGTCAACGCACAGCCGCCGGAGCCGCCGCTGCAGGCCACCTCGAAGCCTGGCGTGCAGGTAAATATCGGAGTTGTCGACGAGTTACCCATGGTTATCGACGGTTACATTTGAATGTGCAGTGTAATCGAGGGACTGTAGTGTAGTGTTGTTTGTCTCGGTGTGGTCTGGGACTTGTTTGGCTGCCTCGCCCCCAAGATTGCATTTGGTGTTGACAAATCGTCAGGAATTTATGTACTTGTGCAATTTGTACTTATAGGCTTTATATATATTTATTTATAGAGGACTTGCTTACCTCTTTCCCTATCTTACTCTTATATCGTGCTTTTGTCATTCTTTGTTGATGCAACTCGCTGAACCCACACCCCGACTGGACATCTGTGGAAAAGAGCTTCATAGCTCATGGGATTCCTCCAGTCTAAATAAAGATTCTGACTCTGTCATGAAAATATCACTACAAGACTCCTCTGTGGTGGGGAAACGCCGGCCAGGGGTGAGAAACGATGTTAAAGTTGCTCTATATACGCGTTTTGGTCCAGCCCCAAATACAGGTTCATATCTGTCCTTTTGTGAGCTCCTGGCAAAAGGACAGAGGCCTCTTGCAGTGCTGTTTCCATCACATTTTCTCCACCACGTCTTCAAGTGTTCTCTCAAATTTAAATGCTTTTTTTAAAGAGCTATGTATGTGAAATGAGCATTACTGTAAGACAATGTCACTTAGTTTAGTACACACGATCATACAAAGACCCATCGGTATAGCCTCGCTCGTTCGTTGAGGACAGTGCTGTTGGCAAGCACCTATTAAGGTCCACACACTCAAGGTGATTTCCTGCCCAGTTGAGTTATTCTGGCAGTGCTTATCTCCTGCTTACAACCTTGAGGGGTGTTGACAATTCCACGTTCCTATGGTGGGGGGGGGGGGGGGGCAAGCATATCCATAGAGCAGCCACTGTCTACTTCTCCACAAAGTGGAACAACCTCCTCGTATGAAGCAGGTCGTGGGTTCAACCCCGACCCTGACATCTGCTGTATATTTGGAGTTTGCATGTCTCTCTCACTCTCTGTGGTTGGGTGGATTTTTCTCTGGGTCCTCCAGTGTTTTCCCTCCACATTTAGAATCAACGTGTGTTCAGAGTATTTGTCTGCTATAAATGTCCATGTGACACTAAGCCACTTCGTTGAGCTTTCATTTGTGGCCAAGTTGTTTCTGGAAAAAAAAGCTATACATCTTATTAGACTTTACTTGGTAAATAAAATATTGTAAAATTTCTCAAAAATGTAGAAAAAAAACCCTATTTTCACGACAGACACATTTTTTCCCTGCCCAACAAAAAACCACGCAGGCATTGCCGAAGCTCTTCATGCCGCCCGTGAACCCGCTGTATGCGCTCGTGAAGCAAGGCCACCGCTCTCCGGCCACCACCCTCGAGCCGCCACCGCCGGCGTCACCCGTGGCCCGCAGCGAGGGCGGCGGCGGCGCCGGCCCCGGCGGCAGCCCGGACTCCCGGCTGCTTCGCAACTCTCAGCTTCTGACCCAGCAGCCGAGCCGCAGCGTCCAAGGCCCCGACGCAGCGAAATCCCGCGAGCAGGACGTCCAGCCTCCGCTGTCGCCGGCCAACGCGGTCGCTCCGGAGGGGGCCCACCGCGAGATCTGCAAAGCGGCGCTGCGCAAGGTGAACCTCCCCGACCACGTCGCGCGCCACAAGGTGGACTCGTGCCTCCTGTTCGAGGGGGACAAGGAGCGGGGCGAGGCGGCGCCTGCACGCAGCGCCATCGAGGAGAGCTCCTTCGCGCTCAAACGACGGGCGACGCTCTCGTACGGCCCGCTCGCCACCCAGGAGGACAGCCTCTTCAAGTCGCGCTCCACGTACGACCTCAGTACCGCTGCTGGCGATCATTTTGATGAGGAGGAGGATGATGAGGAGCCTCCCCACGCCGAGCAGGGAGAAGAGGGCGACAAGGCGAAGAAGGATCAGGCGGAGTTGGAGAAGGAGAAGGAGGGGGCGGCACCTCCGTCATCGGTGGCGGGGGATGACGACGAGCAGCGGCAGACAGAAGAGCAGCCTGGCTCCAAGCGACGCCTGTCCATCCTCAAGATGATGAAGAGCATCTTCAGGAGGAGCGTCAGCAAGGACGTGCCGCAGAGACGCACCTCGACGTTCTACCTGCAGCCGATGACGGCTCCAGAAAACGCTTCATGAGGGGGATGGAGGAGTACAGCCCTTCTCACGTTAACGAATGAAAGCTGGCTCCGTATATATTAGTAGTTTAGTACACTTGGCATTTGCACCATTCCAATAGCACAAGGCTACCACAAAGGTGCTATGTTTCACAGATGGATATGGTTAAACCGGTAGGGGTCAATCTTGCTGTACGGTTTTACCCAATTATGTAATTTTCAGGTTATTCCTCAAATTTAGACCGTGACGTCGGCACACGTGGCCCCATTCTTTAAAATTGTAAAAATAACGTCACCACATGGTCTTGTAACGTCCATTGTGACGTATTTTATGGTTGATACCTGCAGTATTAACTAGGGCGGCCGCTGGGTTTCGAACCACGGACCTCAGCAACGGCTCGACCACGTCACGGCCCTTGTGAGGCTGTTTGACCTGAAACGTCTCAGAAAAATAAGCTACCTCCTTCGGGTGGATCTGTTTTTTTTCTTTTTAGTTTGCAACCTCTTGAGAGCAGAATATTGTAGAGTAATTTTTTGTCGCGTTGTGGTTTAATTTCCATTAGTCCCCCCCACCCCCTCCCTCAATTATAATGAAATGATTCTGCGAACAGTTTGACTGCTCGCACCTCTCGCTTGTTGCATTTTTTTAAATGTTAGGCTGCTGCCGTGGTGAAATGGTTCGCAGCACAATGCTGGACTTGCAATCCAGAGGTCGCTGGGTTCAATCTCCCCGGGAGTTGAAACAATGGGGCAAGTTTTGATTTAAAGCTTTCGTGACTGCAGGGATTCATATTCTTGGTTCTTTCGGTAAAGTCACGTAGAAGGGAAACAATAAAATAATAAAAATATAAAACAATAAAATTCTCACGACGTTTCGACTGCAACACAAGCAATCATCATCAGGTGTGAAAACCAGAGCAAGAAAATATGAAATTGCTGTGGTTTTCACACCTGATGATGATTGCTTGTGTTGCAGTCGAAACGTCGTGAGAATTTTATTGTTTTATATTTTTATTTTTTATTGTTTCCCTTCTACGTGACTTTACCGGAAGAACCAAGAATATGATGGGGTAAGTTTTTTTAAATCGCTCCTCTGGCTTCTACCCACCGAGCAATGTAAAAAAGTGTGCGTATTTCCACCTCTTCCAAGACGGCTGACCAGCGTGGAAGATTAGCCCAAGCAGTGCCGGCCTAAGCTAGTGCGGGGCCTGTAGCATATGTTATAAAGGGGCCCTAAATAAAAAAAACACGTAAATATTAAAACAGATTTTGTTTTTTTTTTACTTGCATAGTAGAGTAATTGTATGTTTTCATTTTCTATACAGCCAGATAATACGACAAATCTCTAACCTTAAACACCCAGTCGTCGTTCATGAAAGTTGAAGGCGGTATAGTACTTTAGTAATGGAGCAAGTGCAGAATCACTGAACCGGAATTGATAGCTTGAAAGCATTTAGTGCAGGGCCTTTGAAAGTGCAGGGCCCGTAGCATGTGTAGCTACTTTTGCTACTAGGATATACCGGCACTGAGGCCAAACACTCACTGGAGGGGCTCTCTAGAGCTCCGTCTCGCAAAGACCCTTCCACTAACAGTGGCGTGAGCAAAAAATTGCAGGGCTCCACCTTTGCCGTTTAAACTTGAGCTCTGTCTTAATTGGAAAACGAATTCGTGTATTAACATGTTGGGATAATGACGCGATGAAACACCAAAGGTAGATAGACATTTAACACAGTGGATTTAGAAATGTAGGAATTATATTATTTGGTAAAGATATGTTGCACGTTTTATATTTTTAATATTCTTAATGGATAGAAAGACTTGAAAAGCAAGCTTTAATGAAAAGGTTTCTCATGCTAATTGTTCGATTCTTCAAAATATGTTTAAGCCAGGGACTCATAAAACCGTGCCCACAGGCACGAGAGTGCTCGGTTCACAAAATCCCCAGCGTGCGTTTCCATTTCCCCTTATTGTATATCGGTGTTTAACACACAGAACCCTACACACACAGATATTGTACAGTAGTGTTCAACACTTCATCACGTAATTTTATTTGACACTTCTCACTGTGGCTGGATTTTATTTTATTTTTACGTCCGTATGAGGCTGTGGTCTAAAGCTATGTTGGCACTTGCGTCTCCTTGTAAATCTGATTATGAACTTAAAATCGGTTTTACCAAATACCATCGCTCACTCTTAATAAAGGAAAATTGTTTTGGTACACAACTGCGCAAGTGAAACGAGTCGTGATTAGTGAAATGGGTCTTTATTTAATACCAAAGTGACAGCTTCTGGAAACAAAACAATCATAGAATTTAAGCTGTACAGTATTTAGTTTTTTAAGAGAAAACTGGAAATTTTATTTGCTCTTGAATAGTCCAAATGTCAATCTGTTTGCTGGCTGAGGACCTCCTCATGCTCCCGTTGGGCCATATTGGTTGTTTGACCATACTTCACCGCGCTGGTCAGTATGAGTAGGTGAAGCGGGAGGAGGGCGAGGGGGACGGCCCTGTGTGTACTGTTGAACTTCTTCCGCACCGTACGTGGCCAACCGTGCGAATCGGGAGCTGCAGATGAAGGACAACAAACGAAACGCACAAACTGTTTTGAAGAAATGAGTTTTCAATCTAGATGATTTCAAAGTGCGTAGTTCCAGTGGCTTCCTAATATCGGAAGGGAAAGCGTTCTAAATGAGCGCAGAAGCGCATCCAAAAGCGAGCAATGCAGTTAATCGTCTTTGTTGGACGGCTCGCCAAAAGATGCTGCGATGATGACCTGATCTTCTTTGGTTCTTTCGGTAAAGTCACGTAGAATGAGAATAAAATAATAAATTGATAAAATAAAATAACACAATAATATTCTCACGACGTTTCGGCCACAACACAAGCGGCCTTCATCAGGTGAAGGGGCGAGACTGTCTGGTAGGACAGTGCTGGAGTGAAAGAGCCACGTTCAGATCACGGCCTTTAAGCTTAGAGTCGCGACTCGCCAAACGCTTGTCACGTGCTGTGTGTGGGAATGGGCAGGATGGTGAAAGCATTGTTATATTTGTAAACTTACTCAGCCCACCAACCACTTCACACACAAAAAAAAATCAATAATTACATTCGTTTCGTCTTGGTTTGGCTTAAGTTTAGTGTGGGAAATTGCGCCCCCTTGCTGTGTTAAATTATAACCAATATCTTCAACATCGGTTAATAACACTGCCGCCTTAAAAGGAAACCTATATGATAGGCGACGTTTCGGGCAATGGCCCTTCTTCAGAGCACATGAGGCCACTTCAAGGATTTTTTTTCTGGAGAACAATATACCAAAATATTACGTTTTGGGGGGTCACAAGACAACTGGACCACCCTGTACATTCAAGACAAGCCCACAGGTAGTGCGACCATGGCCATGCAACCCAAACTTTTGGACCATTTAGCAAAACCAACTTGCAGTGTTTTTTTATTGGGTGCAATTGTGAACAATGGCCATATCAGACGTTCGTAAATCCAATCGGCATTATTATCGGTTCACTGCAGCTCAAAGACTGCCCCTTCAAGGCGTGCGGTGTAGTTCGGAGATGTCCACGTTTCAGTTTATTTGTTTCAGTTTATTTATTTTGGTATAGCCCTGTAAGCCATTCGGCTCTTGAATCGGGTGCAACCACAACAAACAAACAAAAAAACAAAACCACGAACAAGAAAATCATCTTAAAGTGACTGTGTGACTGTGCAAAACAGAAAATCCATGAAAAAACAGCAAAATATTCCTGAAAAAAGCACCGTACACCAACGCCGTGTGCAAAAAAAATCCCAGTGGGATGCAAGTCAAACAACAACAACAACCACAAGAAAACTTAGATTAAGGCCGTCAGTCTAACTCCGTACTACAACAAAACAAACATGTCCAAACCAAAAAACTTTTCGAAATCACCAAAAAATAAAGCCATAATTGCAACGTATTTGATCATAGGGACTGTGACCGAATTTTTACAATAAACTACATAACATGTAACACCAAATCCTAGAGCCATAGCTGGCTGCATGAGTTACTCCACACCAACAGAAGCATCAGTCGGAGTATCAAACTTTTCAATGCACCTTTAAGATCAGCACGCTAAATCAAAATACAGGTAATACTTTGCAGCGTCATCCGGAGCGAAACATTTTATTTTATTTTACGCCAATGAATAGCGGTGGCAGCTAGAGGTGTACAACTCCTCTAGAGCATACTCTTTGGTTCTATTGGGTAAAGTCACGTAGGTGAAAATAAAATAAGAAAAATCACGACGTTTCGGCCACAACACAAGCGGCCTCCAGAGAGTCTCGTCCCTTCACCTGATGAAGGCCGCTTGTGTTGTGGCCGAAACGTCGTGATTTTTTCTTATTTTATTTTCACCTACGTGACCTTACCCAATAGAACCAAAGAGTATGGATCCTAGCAGCCACGAAAGCTTTAAATCTAGAATCCTCTAGAGCAGCTTTGAGAGAATATCTCATTGGTAGCGATTTAAGTTGTAGTTTATTGGCAATAGCATTCCAGACCCTGGGGGCATCAATAGCAAAGGCCCTTCCTCCAGTTTTTGTACGGCAATAGGGAATGTGAAGCTGGTAAATGAGCGAAGACCTGAGGTCAAATTTGTTCTTTGAAACAGTGAGGAGATCCAGCAGGTAGTCTGCGGATTTTTTTGTAAGTACATCGTGAATAAATAAGATCTGGTGCACAAGCCGTCGAACATTAAGATACGTTAAGTTTGACCCAATGTAGAGATCACAGTGGTGAGTCCTATATGGGCAGTTCAATGTAAATATTAAAGCCGAGTGATAGATGGAATCAAGCTTCTTCAGTACGGTACTTGGGGCTGATTTATACACGATGTGCGTGTTTCGGCATTTAAAGGCCCAGAATCAGCGATCTCGCCGACAATGTTGTTGATGAGGTAGGAGGCACTTCCAAATTCCGACAGCAGAGTGAAGGTGGGAGCTTCTGGCCAGGGAGCAACGTTCTGGAGACTTTGGTGCGGGGAAATGGTCGAGGCTTGGCAAGGGTTGGAGGCCGTCCATAAATGACGTCACGCACCAAGGTGGGGGGGGGGGGGGTCAGACATTTGTCACGATGTGTGACGAGGAGGGGGGGGTAGAGAAATGTGACGTCACATAAAAATGCGCAACTTTAAATACATATAGACAACACGTTCTACTTGTATTATATTCTTGGTTCTTTCGGTAAAGTCACGTAGAAGGGAAACAATAAAATAATAAAAATATAAAACAATAAAAAAATGTGTGTTTCCCTTCTACGTGGTGACTTTAACGAAAGAACCAAGAATATGAATCCCTGCAGTCACGAAAGCTTTAAATCAAAATTTTCCGTTCTACTTAATTAAATAGACTTTTTAATAAATGTTTTCTCCTACAACATCAGAGTGCAGCGTCACATTCAATATGAGTACTACAATGACAATAGTTTAAAGCTATTTGAAGCATGTTTTATATATTTTTTTTGGGGGGGGGGGCAGAGCTTTGTGACGTCAAATTTGAGGGGGGGGGGTCTGACTTTCTGTGACGTCGTGTGACGAGGGGGGTCAAAAATCGCGTGACGTCATTTATGGACGGCCCCCTTAGGAGATGTCCAGGAGGGAGCTTCTGTCCAGGGAGTAACGTTCTGGCGACTTTGGTGCGGGGGCAATTGTCGAGGCTTGGCAAGGGTATGTGCATCATCATCATCGGGTGGCACTGCATCTTTCGTATGTGGGTGGAAGTTTGTGCTCCTTCGGAGGAGGAACAGCAAAACTCC